ATCAATTAAATAATCCTCAGCATTCACGTTTGTCATCACAGTACTCTCGTAGTCCCAGGGCGCGAATGCCAGGACTGTCAATATAGCGTCCCGCCAGGCCGGGAGGACTGCATTCGATGAAGGAGTGTTCTTGGCAACGGAATGCGGCGCATTCAGGGCTACGCCGCCAAACGCGAAACCGCCTCCGGGATACACGCCTTTCTTCAAAGCGTCGATAAGAGCTGTATTGGAAGTCGCGTTTTCGACAACTGTTCTCGGGATTATACGCCCAGCAATTGAAACGTCGATGATATTGATGAATGGTGATCCGTAAGGTAAGGGACCTAAGTAATGGTCGAAATGCTGGTAGTAATTTGGAAATGAGGTAACGGCCACTGAGTGAGGCACCTGAAGCGCTTCCATCTTCGCTTTGAATGGCTGCAGTAGCGCAGTCATTTGCTCAGCTGTGCTTCCTGGGGATGTCATAGCATTGACAATGAAACTGTCGTTTTCTAGCGAATAAAGAGCTGTGGCTCCTGAGTCAACGATGGATGGAAGAGCAGCGTGGAACTCTTCGACCGCCTTCCAAAACGCCTCGTCGGAGGCGCCAGTCTTGTTGAACTCGAGATAGGCCCCGCCAACTATACCATCCTTAAAGGCTTTGACGGTAACCGTTACGACGACGGCGTACGTGCCACCCCCTCCGCCACTCAAGGCCCAATATAAGTCTTGGTTCTTAGTCGGTGAAGCAACAAGATGTCTTCCATCAGCAGTGACCACCTCCCATTCGAGAACTTGGTCAGAGCCCATTCCATACGTTGAGCTTAGGGCAGAATGACCACCTCCTTGCAAAAATCCACCTGCAAGGCCGACAGTGGAGCATTCTCCGCCAACAACTCGAAGGCCTTCTGCAGCCGCGGCGGCGTAAATCTCGAAAGCTTGGATTCCAGCTACCAAATTGTGTTAGAGCGTAGGTAGGCTGGACACATTGAGTATATCAACACGACTATTGTCTTACATACCTCCAAATTTAACGGCCTGTCCGGTATAGCCTGGGCTTGTATAATTCACAACACTGAAAGACTTGAGATTATGAGTCCAAATTCCCAAGGCGCCCTTGCCAGTCGACTTTGCAAGATAACTAAGAACATTGTTAGGTCACAATCGAAGACTTAGAAACAGAAACGTCTCGGCAAGCACTCACTCATGGCCCGTATTTTTGATCACGAGTCGGATATTATTTTTCTGGGCAAATTCAAGCCCAGCGGCAATATCAGCCGCAGAGCTTGCATTGATCGTATAATCAACGTAGTTGCCGAGAGAACAAGCAGTTGAGCTAGGCGTGAATGGGTCACAGCTTCTGTTCTGTGCTAATGGATCCATTATCTCAACGGGATTGGGATAACTGTCACGATAAGTATAGCTCTGCTAGAATGTCATGGAGGTTGGACATCAAAATTTAGTGCCCTGTTAGGGTTTCTTACTGAGTTTGAGGTAGTGCCCAATTCTCTTTCAAAACAGCACATGCTGCCTCGTCATAGTTTGGCTCATGACATAGCAAACCAAGAGGAGCCGCTGCGATTAATCGCCCGTTCACTGTTGAATTAAGACGAGACCATTGCTTTTGGTCTGGCCAACATTTATCTCCACGAATACAGCGACAACGGGAAAAGGACTGCAAGGAATCGCTAGCAAGCACTATGGGAGTGCTGACTAGCACATATCCTGCAAATAGCAGGTTGCGAATAGAGGAATGCATCAAACTAGAAATAACGAGCGAAAACTGGATAGGGTGAACCAGAAGAGATAGCTATCGAATCTTGATATTGAGATTATAAGTATATATGTAAACCGTATATTATTAAGCATTGAAGAATAATTCTAAGTATAGTACAGTGTGATGGTACATCGGCAGGTGGTCTACAAAAGGTTGAGGCGTAGGTTAAGTTTTATGGCTGCAGTAAGTGTTTTGTGGCTATTTGTAACTCTACCTAGGTAGTTGTTGTTATGACATCCAGCGCAGGCAAAATTGCGTAGTAATGGATGTACCTGTCTCGCCTGTGAGATTACATGCTTTCATTGGCCATTTTTACCCCTTGTTAGCGCTTACAAAAAGCCACCGAACCAACAAGTCGTTCATAGGGGTAGTAAAGAAAATTACTAGAAAAGGCAAGTTTCATATCGGATATCAAAATTCCATATCTACAAATATGGCCCGGCCTCTACGGATGCTTACTAGTATGGCTGAGACAAGGCCAAAGACATAGCTAATTGACTTAAAAGGCAGCGCTAAACGCAATAAATGCTGGCCTGGCTTTTAGATCCGTCAACTCTCGTGTATTACCGCTATCTGCCGTGGGAGCGTTCATATTGAATTCCTTCCCGTTACCAAGCCCGACCGCGCGGGTCATATCCTGGCCTATATCAGGTAGTAAGCAGATTCTATTGGTTGGTTTAACTATATCTTTATGATCTTATTGATCCGGTATCGTGCGATCTCAAAGACCACCGGGCAGGACACCGGGAACTAAGGTCGAGGGTTATGGAGAACGGGAATCTTATCGACTCCACCATCGGAGAGCCAAGAGGAAGTGGGATGAAGAACGGAAGGCTTGACGTCTCCACCACCGGGCTCACGGCTGACGAGCAGAAAAGCTTTCAGTTGTTTATCAGACAATGTTGTGAACACGGGCTCCTCCAGCGTCCTACCGGCTTATCAGCCGAGGATACTCTAGATGGCTTAAACGACGAGGTCACTCTATTGTACGGGAGCCCTACCATATTGTTGTATCATGAAAGACTAATTGATTATTTTCTCAGGAGATTCCTTTGCGCTCGTGCGTTCGACGTGCCCGGGGCGCTCCGACAGTTCAAAGAAGCCCAGGCAATTCGGAGCTCTGTGAATACAGTTGAAGCATACAATACCATCGATATCGACGATTTCGAGCACTTGCGCAGCATTGTGTGTGATCATAATAATTCCCTTTTCTAGTAACTCCGGTCGTCTTAACTGCCCCACTACCTTAAAGTAGCAATAACTAACAGCTGAAACTACTAGTATCCCCATTGGTCGGGTCATCGAACCAAAGACGGTCTCCCAATATGCACTCTTGACGCAGCCAATCGTAAGTAGTCCCAATATGTATCATGTTATAGCCACGCACAAGAGTGTAGATTCGCAAGCCAATTCTAGAATCATATTCGAAGGCCTTCCTGCTCGTCTCAATGTTTGCAGATTAACGCCAATATGGTGGTTAACATAAGTTTTCGCAGTGGACGGGCCGAACTTTGCAAAATATCTTAATTGCACCCCGTCTCAAGTTACGTGCCGCGCCATCACATCTCTCGACTATTTAACGCGTTTCGTGCTGCCTCTCTGTTCCGCGATGGCGGATCAGCCCATTTCCAAAGCAGTGTATCTCGTCGACATAACTTATATAAGTCTGAAACAAGGGTGGAATTTACGGGGGTATGCGCAGAGTTTCACGGGGCTATTAGCGACTTGCTATCCAGAAGTCGTAGATAAGATCTACCTTGTTAATGCGCCGCCGTATTTCTCCAAGATTTGGGCTTTCGTAAAGGGTTGGGTTGATCCGAGCACGGCGACGAAACTAGTGATATTGCCCCCCGCGGATGTTTTGACTACCCTCTCAAAGCGTATAGATATCGAGTGTATACCGGAGCGGTACGGTGGACGATCAAAAGCCGAAATTGGCCTCGCGCCGCGTGTTCATGGCTTGAAAGACTTATTGGGTTTTGAAGAACTGCCGGATGGACCGATAAAATGGACCTTGGACCAAGGGAATCGGACTGCGGTCGCCGTTGGTGTAAGGGGAGGGGAGGTCCGCAAGGAGCCGCTGGGCTCGGTCGGTATCAAGTCATCTCTGTAAAGCATAGTTATAGATCGTTCGGGGATACTCCAGAGGGCTCTTGTTGATAACGCGAGCTATAGATTTGCTGTTTCTTACCTACAAATACAGAAACTAAGGCCTCTCTCATTGTAGAAGAAGCTTCTGTTGGCACGGTGCCACTTTCCTCCGTTCGTCGACCCATATGGCCGTACTTCAAGTACTGCAGTCATTGATATGTGGTACTATTGATAAATTTGTCTCAACTTTTGAAGGCCGTTTCCCAAAAACTACAATGGATTCCTTCTAAATAACTCTTCATTGTGCATGATTATTGATCATAATGGCAGTTCATGCTTGTCTGAGACCTAGTCACAGTCCCAACTGTGAGCATACAAGTAACAGCAGACATCAAGGCTCTTTTCTTACTCAACAATACGTGGTTCAGTGCTGCAGTTCTAGTCCTACGACAAACTCGCACCCCATACCACAGGTAAGACAAGTCGAGATTACCTTCACACCTCTATTTCAAAGCATGTCATGTAAATCGCATTGATCACTATTGAAATAGCCCCGGCCAACCTACCGAACCCTGAGCTCTGACCAAAGAGGTAATCTGCACCCAAGGTTAATGAAAATTAGTAAAGCTCGATGGAGGATCACTTGATCCAGTAGAACGCAAGGCAATTAAGTAGGTTCGTGGAAAATTAACGATCAGTTCAACAAAAAATCTAAATACTGATCTAGAAAACGAAGATGGAGGTGGCTAGGTTGCCTATCTTCTAATCCCAACGAAATTATTATTGTAGGCCTCCTTATATTGAATCCAGACAAAATTGGCCGTCTTGCGATTGATTAAATCGCTCGGAACCCAGTCATACATACATACATACATACATACATACTACTTTAAGTAAAAATTTTAAAATAGATATCTCAGGTTTTTTGGTCAAACAAATTCAAGTAGACAGACGCACTTGCGACAGGGGTCGGGAAACGCCAGTCATTGTACAGGTCAATCTTGACACATCTGGACCTACTTAGCATCGATCCGCGGTTCATTCACTGACTGGGTTTACTTCATACAAGGCCTAATAATGACATAAAAGTAAAATTTACCAAAACACTTAACTCCAGTGACGGAAAAAACGGTCAGAAATAATAAAACTGGACCTCTCGATCGGGGAATCGAACCCCGGCCACCTGCGGCTTGTTCCACGATTTTTCATCGACGAATGACAAGCAGGTATCCTGACCACTAGACCAATCGAGATTGTTGGTATGAATGATTCTTATTGGAAGGACGCGTAAGTGGCACTATGCGAGGATACAGAGGCCATCGTGGGTGGGGTTCTGCAGCTATAGACCCTTTGTGACTCCCTAATTGTAATAATAGCTGTTGACGGACAACATTATGCGCCGTACACATATCGTAATTCATAGCTATGTAAATAAATAATATATACCGAGCCGCCTTACAACACTGTCACGGTAGTCTTAGTTTATTTGCTGATTTTTGTCGACACTCTCACAGAATCTCTGGGGCTAGTTGCAGCCTCACCTGAAGAATTGGGATATGATGCAAACGCGGCCCTGTAATTGCGATACGAGATACTAGTATTATCGACTCAGATTCTGAAGCTAGAATAGTCATATCAGAGGATGGCTTTGCGGTCGGAGCAGATGCTGTCATAGGTAAGTCATACCTGTTTGCTAATAATGGATTGGGCTGGTTCAGGCTTTCATGCAACAAGCACAATCTCAATGGCTCGTTCCAGTAATGAACAAAAATAGTCCCATTGGTTCAAAAGCTGTAAGTTAATGTTATAGATAATATGGGGCATGCTACAGAAATATGGGTTCATGGGGCATTCATGAACAAAGACGCTTCTTGTATAAAGTCAGGTAGCCCTCACGAAGGTGGTTTAAGAGAAGTTCACGCAGCAAGAAGTGCCTATTACCTACCCCAAGTACGGAGTCCTTACACATGTATGCTTTGTATTCTTAGTTAATGCTTGCCTTGCCTCCGCGACAACCTCATAATTTATCTGCTCAATGTGGCATTACACCTTGCTTATTCTATTATACGATGTTCTTGTTAAGCTCTAATTATCACAATGAACCCCATTAGGACGCTCTCTTTGGCGTGGAATATCATAGACGTCGACAGTAAGGCTGTCAAGGGGGTGAATATTGTGATAGAGATACACAGGGAGGGCCTCAGCACCGCACATGAAACCATCACCACGAGGCAGATGGCCTTAGAATATCATCGGAGATCTTCAGGCCTGAAAGCTCCAGTATCAATTCAACACCGCTGACCTGGAAATGCGGGATATGTCAACCAATTTGGTTTCGCAATGCGTCGAGCTATAGACCATCTTGGGCGAATGCAGATCTAGCCAGAAATTACTTTCAGCCTTCAATTCATCAACCAAGGTTTTGCGTAACCGCAGAAAGATTAAACAGTTACAGGTTAGCATCGTGTCATTGCGGGATGAATTGTTTCGCTGGGTTCATACCAGTACTCAGTTCGTTCCCCAACCCGCTTCCTTTTTGATCAAGTTGACTTTAAAGCTGAATGTTAACTGACAAATTAATTAGTGCTGGAGTCCATGATGCCTTGAGACGACTGGAGACTATGACCCAGTCAAATTTCAAGATAGGTGCGGTTTTAGAGGATGTTAATACCCAACTCCAAGTGCTGGGGGGCACGGATAATCTGACAGAGAATGGTGCAACTGGAGGCCTGGAAGAAATCAGGCAGATGGTGACAGATCGAGTCATTCTCCATCTACTCGATTTTTTGGGCCTTGGAAGCCGCTTCGACGACGTTAATCCTAAGGAACACCTAGGTTATGAGAGAATCAAGTGCCGGCGTTGAGATTGACTCGAAGAACTGGTCTATCTCACGGCGGCAACAGATTACTAAATCGCTCCCTGCACAAACAGAACGGCGTCCTCAATGCGAAGACGGGACTTAAATTTCTCAATGTTAAAGGTAGTCATTAATTCGGCTAGCTGATAACAAGAGATAACTATTGTTGCTAACGACTGACGGAACGCAAGTAATATAGCCAGCATACGAAGCAGCGAATCATTACAAAATCTAGACCAACGACACATCATATGCAAGATTCAGGACAATTCAGATAGACGTAAATCTTAAAATTATCGTCATACTACGTAGGTAGTACTACATATACCGCGAACAACAAGACACGCTCATAACCAGTGCTCAAGTCTTCGCTAATCGGACTGTCCTCCTCTATGAATCATTCATTCCGCGAGACGATGATATGATAGAAAACAAGAAGCAAATTCATGAAGCCCCATCTGAGAGCTAGGTGAACATCGAAGTCTGCGCAATCCCCTCCCGAGCACCAAATCAACGCCCTATGCCAGGTCAAGACCAGAGAATAAAGAAGAACCTTACCAATCACAAGCCTATCCCCATGACCCTTCCGAAGTCTACCGAACCCCAAGTCATAATCTAAACATGAAACAGTCTGCTTAAAATGCCACCGCTTGCATTAAGTAGTTTCGTTAGAGTAACAAAGAACTACCAGAAAGAGCACCAACCAATGTAATGCTGGCAAAGGTTCTCCAACTTAGTAGCCTCTAATATGAGCTTGTTGACCTGTTGGACGACTTCCAATTCCTCATTGGGTTTGAAGTCGCGGCCGGTCAACTTCTGGTTTACTCGGTCGAGCACCTCGAGGGCGCGCGCGTTCTGAATCTCAGCCGCTTCGCCGTCTGGTGCCGAACCATTCATCAAGCTGGAGTTAGTGCGTGCGCGACCACGCACAGGCGGAGGCATGTTTTGGTGTATGGACTCAACTGCGAGCTGAGCAAGCATTTCAGAAGGCGGATGCTCTGATTCCAATATGCTAGGCCGACGAATGCGCTGCGTGCCTGCTCCGAGAGCGGCTTCACGCTCAGAATGAAAGTTGGGGCCACAGACTGATGCGCGGTTGGTCAAACGCCAGGTCAGGAGGGGATCATGAATGAACTAGAAAGATTATTAGTATTGACACAAGAGGATGTTGGAAATGTTAACTTACAGCTTCAAGCACAGCCATCACACTTTCTTTATTCTCGCGAAGTACTCGCATAACATGCTCACAAGTGATACGGAAACTTCCCTCGATATTGCTCACTTCCATCGCATACGTAAGCATACGTGTCAGGCGGAAGGGGACCCGCTCGGGATACTTGTCGCGCTTCATTGCCACCTCAAAGCAATCGCCAAAGTCAATGTGGATGATCTTGCCCGTAATTCGGTCGAGCATGAGATTGCTAGGATGGCGATCACCCAGGCCGAGAATATAGCCAACCATGCTCATAACACCAAGACTGCGCGTGTAGTTGGTACGTCGTTCTAGCCATGCTTCAGAGCTCTTGCTCTTAAGCCAGAGGACGCGGTACAGGTCCTGACCAGTTGTATTATCCAAAGCGTAGCCAAAGACTTCAACCTTCTGCATGAGAGTGAGGTTATCATAGTCCGGTGCCATCTGCAACATAATGCGGTGTTCGATATTAAGCAGGATCTTCCTGCTCTCACGATACTCCCGGATGAGAACATGAAGGGTGTCACTATTCGGCACCCATCCAAACAGACCAGAATTCTGACTAAGTGGGATTGCCGGATATCGCTGAATTCCGAGATGTCTCTTGTAACATTCTGAATCATTTGCAAGCAGAGTGTTGCATAAGCCAAAGAGCTGCATTACACGTTCGTCTTGGCGGATATCTTCATGTCCCTTCAACAGGAACGCGTAGGGTTTACCGTCGCTACCTGTCATATTGAGTTTTCGGGGACGCTGCTTCGAGTTTATGACGCTGAACGTCGTCTCGAACGAGATAATCCTCACTATTGGGGCTCCGCTGCGATACGTACCAGGCACAGCCAAGTCTAGGTCCCTAGCACTAAGAAGCTTGGGGGAGCAGTACGTAAGCTCGAGAGATGTCATTTGCGGGAGCTGTCGGCCTATACGCCGGAATACTTGGTAGTACAGATCCCATGCACCGTTCATATCGGTGACATCGTGAGTCTGTTCATATTGGCGACACCACTCCCGCGCTTCTGTGAGATCTCTGCCGAATGTTTGCGCGAAACTGATTTCACGCAGCGTCTCGGGACCTCTTTCGAGTTGCTCATGCAATGGGTTTAGGGTAGCGAACATGCCCTCAGCGTTATGATCACTAAACCAGAGTCGAGACGCCTCCTCGATACCCTCATACCACTGTTCGTGCCATAGTACCGCAACACGAATGAGCTCGTGACTTACAACATCTGCCTGCTCAACAAGCTTGGCACTGTGCTGCCGCATGCTATCCATAATAAGGGCTGCAGATCTTGATTTTTTGCTGTTCTGGACTGACTTCATAGCTACGGTAAGAGGATAGACCAACGCCTGAGGATGGTTACGGCCTACATCAGCGAGTAGGTTGTGGATAGACGCCCGTACCCGCGAGTTCGGCTGATTGATGCGTGCAATCAATTGTGGAATCACCTCAAGCCATGTATCGACACTAACAGTACCGGCGCCTTGGACAACTGCCGCATTGACCTCGCTACTGCCTCCGTGGGCAAACCAAAGGGTCAATAAACGGAGTGTGTCTTGTAGTGAGCTGCCCGAGGACAAACCGATCGACTTGAAGAAACCAGTTACAGCTGGGACCACATGGCTGATTATGAGGGCTGGATCAGGTCTTGGTGCTTTTCGATCACCCGGGGAGGTAAGAGCCTGGACTATTTCGAAATTTGCCAAAGCCCAGGCGTGCCATGCCTTGTACCACTTGGGATTATACTGTGTAGCTTTCGAATAAGACGTGAGAATATCTTGGACGCTTGGGTGCTGCCAGTCACTCTTGTTCAGAGCAACTTGCCATTCTCCTTGTCTGAGGAAACACTTTGCTAAAAGGACATTTTGCTCTTGGAATTCTTTATGGGATCGCAAATGAGACATACCAGGTTCCACCCCATTATGGAAACTGTAGTCGCCCATCGGCTCCATGCCATTGGGAACTGATTGTAGGGAGGCTCGCGCAACTTCTAGACGCTGCATAGTGTCGGTAGTAAATTTTCTGAGGCAAAACAGCGTCTTTTCAGCGTGGCCGGCCTGGCGCACGTTTCCTGTTTGGCCGAATTCCCAATAGAATTTGAGAACTGCATAGACAACTTGAGGAGGAATCCTTCTAGATGCAGAAGCCTGAGGTTGACCGTTCTGGCTCCAATAAGGTATGATCGTGTCGAGAGGATAGTCACTT